GTGTTATCTGTTGTACTGTTGTCTGTTGTACGGTGCATGTCCTGAGAGAGCGGTGTGAATAAGAATTCCAATAGACGTACAAATGGCAATTTAACTCCTCTATAAAACTAAAGTTTGTATTCTCCAACTTCTTTACTTTGTATTTTTGTTAGCAACAGTAGATGGACAAATACTGCCAACAAATTATTTGACTAGTAGTCTGATAGTGTATACTATACTAAATATATGAAGTCATATGAATTCTGTTTACTTAAAATGTATGTCAATTTCAAGTTATACCAACAAAAGAAAAGATTACAAACCTTCATAACACAAACTGTTATGTACATACTGTATGTACATACACATTTCAAATGGTAGCATACTTGGTTAAATAAAGAAGAATTCTCAATGTATACTATGAATCACGCTAATTTGAGAAAAGAGCGGAGATTAAGCTCCGTATTAAGTCAACCAGGAAATACTGTTCGCAAGTGACAAATCCAATAAGCTTCTATATTTAATAACAAAAGATCAATTTCTCTACCCCTCAGAGGAACAATTATTTGTTCATTGTCAATAAATTTTAGCAGAATATCTCAATAAAATGTTTTGGTAAGGGGGAATTAAAATCTTTTGAATATGAGCACTCTTGTATTAGCCCATCCTAGCTTTCAGGCTTTTAGTTTTTCCAATCTACTGTATACTAAACCATGAGATGAAGGAGAAATTAATTACCTCAGACAGAGCACCACAGTATATGGATGGTGGAACACATTTGAGCAGTCTGTGTTATTACAAGGTTATATCAATGTCATTAGTATGCATGCAGTTGGAACATGGTGTGTTTTCTCTGGATGGTTATTGTCAACACACATTTTTACACTTACAGTATATCAATAAAACCATCTTTCACATTCCATCTTATTTTCTAAGAAAATAATGTTTTTGTCTTTGTTAATGAGTCTGAAGGCAGTCCATGTATTTTTAACATTTTATGACAATATACTGTCCATACATGTAAGCGCATTCAGTAGTATTACCGGTCACTGCTTTATTGTTATGGAATGCCCTTACTCTGACTCTAGGAGAGAGAAATTCTTGGACTCTTTTGAAGCCTAAACTTAAAACTTTTTTACAATATCAGATTGCCTTACAGTTTACACTGTACAGTATGTGCTTGTTTCATTTGTTTTACTTATTATTGTAATTTTTCTCTTTCCTGTTCTTGGTCACTGTGTACACCGTCGTTAAATTTGGAAAAGTGCTTTCTAAATAAACAAACACAAACCATTGCAAGTTGACAACTCTTTTTTTTTAATTAAACAGTCCCTCTGACTTGCTTAATTAGTTAACATGAATGATTCTTGAGCTTTTTTGGAAGTACCAAACAAATAACTTTCTTTCTTTTTCTAATTACATTATAGGCATGAAAAAAGGAGGCATGTCTTTGCAGAGAGGTGTGAGTGTCCACAATGTTTCTGAAACAGATTCCTTGAAATCTCCAGTGTCTGGAACTGACCCTCAGACAATGAGCCACAGGCAACCAAATGAAAAAGATGCCTCCCTGACATCTGTAGCTTTTCTTATGCTCCAGTCTTCTAAAATCATAAGGTGTTAATCGGCACATTAACCATGCGGTCATGAATCTCAGATTCAAATTGTCTGATGCAGATGTGTGAATTTGTGATCTCTGTAACGCCTCAGTTACAAACAAATGATCTGTCTGATGGAGAGTATTAAAACGCATTATGATGAACCACAAGAATCAAAAGCAGCCATTTCACAGAATACTGCTTTTGTGCTGTTATGCTTTTGGGGGCATATGAAAGATAAAAGATTTTTAAAATACTTCTAAAGAGCACAGCAGTTTGCTGAGACCTTCTGATATGTCTTCTGATATGTGGATAGATTTTGTCTTAATGTCTTAATTTTACCCATATCTTAAATTTCAGACATGGAGTTCATTTTTCAAATCATATATCATATTAATAGGTTCCTTGCCAGACTGTAATATGAGGTATTTTTTCTGTCTTACTCCAACTCCCAGTGTTCACCTTTAAAGAAATGATTTGATGCTCAATAAGAGTGGTACTCTAGCAGTACAGAAGGTGCACTGGAACTTTGAAAATTGACACAGACATGGAGGTACAGTATCATACTTGGAAGACTGCTTTATAGAGCTCTTGCAAATCAAACAATTGAGTTTGTATTGACTGGCAATTCGCTCTGCCATGATGATGGATAAAAAGTTGAAGAAATTGGCGAACCTCTGCCACATCTGCTGTGTCGGTGACCTGCTGGTGCAGAATGGATTTTCAAACCACATACACACTGTGTTTCTTTAGTGCTTTATTGTAGAGCTGAGTCCCAGCCAATTACCCAATAAAGTAGTGTATCAGTTCAAATTTCTAAGAAGTACTGTCGTTGTAAAACAGGAGTTGTAATTTCTTGCAGTTAGATATCGATTTTAAAGCACCCCAATGTGGTTTACAAACAGTAGGGAGACCCTCTCCACCTACTACCGAAGTGCTGCCCCCACCTGGGTGACACACACCTGCCCCATCCCAAAGCCAAACAGGGTGAGAAATGAGAAAGCCTCACCAGTTGAATTCAGGGGGACTTTTAGGCAGGGCAGAATGTGCAAGCAAAAAGTGTAATTTAGACAGTACACTAGAGCTGACATACTGTGCCATGGGATCTTTTTAGCCAAATAGTGAAGACCTCTGCTTAACATCTCATTCGAAGGATAGCACATACTGTACACCACTGTGCCCCTGATCACTGTTCTGAGGCATTGGCTCTGGAGTGATAGAAAGAGTGCCACTGTCTAGTTCACCACCATCACTTACAGCAGCAACCAGGGTTTTCTAAGGGGTCTCCCATCCCAATACTGATCAGGCCCAGTCGTGCTTAGTTTCTGAGACTGGACACGATCAGGGTGGAGCATTTCTAGATACAGTATATCCTTACAGGAAAGAATTCAGCATGTCCACTTAGTCACATTTACAGTTGAAGCATTAATGTAACAGCCTGCACTGCAATTTCAAGAGCCTAACTTCGATATTAATGAATCAGCTAAAATAGTTTCAATGAGAAGCTAACCATTCACTTATTTATCACTAGAATGAATAGAATCCCAGAGCATTTAATAACAGAATATTGCTTTTAGTGTCTCCTGCAGCGGAGTTCTCTTGCCCTGCAGAGCTTATTTCAAGGCCTTGCTTTAGATAAATAATGCTGTGAATGACATGCCTCTTCTACTGTATGTATTACTCTGTCCTCTGAATCTGTTGCAGACTTATACCTCTTTGTGTGGGAGGAAATTCAAATTCATTGCTTCTACAAAGTAGAACACTTAAGCCTTACAGACACTTTTCAGTTCTGAAAGGTTGAGGCTACATGTTGATTTTGTTTTTCAAAAATGGAGTACAAGCAGTAATGTACGGTAAAATAAAAGAATGTATTTTCCTTCGTACTCACAAAGCCATTAATGCCACAGCACTGTTATTAAAATTACAACAACAACAACAACAACAACAACAACAATAATAATAAACCACTTCCATCAGGTCCCCTCATAATCTTCTATTTCACACTAATATTGTTCAGTTCCTTCAGCTTGTCAACGTAGGACACTACTTAACCCCTAAAATATATCTGGTTGCTGCTCTCTGGGCTGATTCCAGAGCAGAAGTACAGACTGATACTGTACACAAAATCCAAGTGCAATTCTAACCAAATCCTTCGGTTTCATGTCTAAACTTTCAAGTATGTACCCTACATTTGTGTTTGTCTTTTCTCTGACTCACAATTCAAGAACGAAGAGAGAACGTGGCCTACTTCAGAAAAAAGAAAAGCTTTTGAAATAATATAAATAGAATAGCGTTTTACTCGTTTGACTTATGCTTCAATAACCCTTTATTCCGAAACCATAGTTTAACACATTTCTATCCACAGTCATTGGAAATACGCTTTTATTAGCGGATAGATAATAAAAAGAGGTAAGAATGCTATTGGCACGCTACAATTAACAGCGAAATGTCCATTTCATATATTGTTTTGCATTTTATTGTTCAAACACGTTTATTGCATTTCGACACCTTATACTGACTTACAGTAATTATATGATTTCGATCATTCGATTTTAAACGTGTTGAATTACCCAAAATACCGAGTCAGACACAACCTAAATTGCATACAACAATGAGGGGTTTTTGATGAAGATTGTAATGATAACAGGATACTAAGAGGAAGAGAGTGACAGACGGCTGTACTGAGGTTTCTGTGCCAGAATGTGTGACGCTGTGATTGATAACAGGGGGACTACTTTTTGTTGAAGTGGGGCGAGGGCACTTCTGAGATGCCTTATTTTTCCACACTACTGAATATTATACTTTCATTCTTACCCTGTAGGTTTTATTCCAATAACCTTTCTAGGTGGTTGTTCAGCAAGCAAACAAAACGGATGTTCCTAAAAAACGCAGCATGATCTGTTGCAAGTAAAAACACAACCCTGGCCTTGAGCCCCACTGCTGCTCCTTTACATTATATCCATCGGTTATCTAGGAGACTTTAGTTCAAAAACGAATCTGCTTTGGGGCAGGTTATGGTTTTTAGCACTGCGTTTGTACACAAAGCTTTAGTTGCTGTGATTTACCGAGGTGACATACATTTTATAGAACTGTGCGTACACAGTATTTTAATACCGATAGAAAAACAAACCAGTACAGCTCGGTCTCAAGTATTTGAGAATATGTCTAGAAAATGAATACATCACACGTCTAAATTATGTTATTTTAATATTGCTGTGTGCTCGTGCTGCCCCCTCTCTTGTTTACTCCGTCCATCAGAGTCATCAGAAGTTAAGAAAAAAAGGGAATACGGGACGATAGACCAAAACCCACTTCTACGTTACAAATGTTCACTTTTGCCAGTTGCACTAGGTTTCTGTTAGTTGTTTTCTTGTTCGCTTCTGTCTGGGGTAGCCTAACTAGTAAGTCTGGATCATGTTACTCTATAGACGCTGTCTGCTCTACGCAGCTATCTGCGACCTGCTGTACGAACTGTTGTGAACGCCTCAGCACGCCTTCAGCTTGAGCAATGTGTTAGCGGTGTTATTTTGAAGGCAGTCGATTTGGTCTCCTTTGTGCATTCGTTGACGTTATGTCCTTCTAGATAACGAAGTTGTCCCCTCCTTTCCCCTCTTCATTTAGGTGCTGATTGCAACTTCAGTCGGACCAGCTGCAGTATCCTCTTCTGGAATAACTTTCAACAGCTGTAGAACTTAAAGGGATTCGAAAGAGCCACACGTGACGCTACCTGTCCTGCACACCTGGACGTAAACGGGAGTAAAGATCTAGGAGCCCAGAACCATGCAAGGCAATATGCACACAGCGCTGGTCTTTTTGCCGACGATGCAAAAGCTCTGGGAAAAAATGGATAATAGGGCTTTTCGTATTAAAATTTGAGGACGTTTTGGTTAATTCTGAATGGACACATCGGGAATCAGGTAAGAATGCGCATTTGAATGAACAGCGTTATTTCACGAGAAAATAAAGCAAAATTAACATTTATTTCGCGTTGTTTTTGTTTGGTTTTTGACAGTGTAACGCGACTGGCCACGAATCCTTCTAGCTGAGAACAGTTGAGCAGAACAAGTCACTTTTTTTAAATCACTGTTAACACATAAACGATTTTTGAGTTCATTATTTACCTTCATGTAGATTACAGTTTATGCGTTTACACTTCTTTAAACTAAAGTTAGTTTATTGCACAACTAGTTCCCCGTTTGAATTGGACTCGTGATACAATGTGTATTTAAAGCCAGATGAGGCACAGTATGTTATTTATCCTACATATACGGGCAACAATTTATTTTACAGCCTAAACTGGATAGCTTTGTACTGTAAATATACATAGTGTTAAAAATCGAGAATTACGCGTCTAACGCGTCTGTAACCAAAGCTTTTTACATACAAGTACATTATATCATCGGAATAAACGCGCAGGGCATTCAGCTACGTACTGTCTTAAGGAAAGCTAAAAGAAAAATAAAGAAATCTGTTGTTATCACAGGACTAATGATTAATGATAAATGATAATGTTTTATTGTTATTATTAAAATGTTAACATTTAGGACTATTGAGTCGTTTCATTGTTACCAAACTGAAAATACCCAATGCGTAAAAGCTGTCCGTATTAAATAACAGCGATACTGTACATATGTGGTTAGTGATTTATAAAGCACAGCTCCCTGAGATTTTCTAAGCGAAGTTGGGGATCCAAGAGTAGCTTCACTTTTACCTTTTACAGCGCTCAATACATTCGCACTGCTCACGTTTTTTTAAATTCAAAATAGCACAAATCGATATTGATTTTCTACTTTGGGGTCCAGGATTGTTAGCTGATGTAAACTCTGAACTGTGTAGCTCGTAATTGAATTCATTAAGCAATGAAACGTTAATCATACTGTCACTTTGTGTTATTTCTCCACAGAAGATAATCTCTTTAACTTTTTTAGGATTAGCATTAGAAAAAAGTTACTATAATAATATTTACACCACATTAAGCCAATTTGCGGATAATGGCAGTTTGTCAGTTTATCATGCGATTTTGAAAAAAAAAAGATTTTATTTATTGAAAACACCAGAAAACGTTATATCATGCATAGATGCTTACAGGAATATCTAATGAAAGTAATGCTAAGAATGTTTAGACTAAAGGAATAAAACCCTTGCACAGATTTTGTAAAAGGGAGAATTTCAAAAGACTATGATGAGGAGGAGGTGAAGATGCATTCATATTTATTTTTAAATCAGTGTGAAATGTAAACATTTTAAATATGTCATTTTTAATTCATGGGTGCTTAATAACCATTTGATTTTATGGATATTTACAAGCTTACTGTGAGGTACAGGGAAGTCAGTTCAAGAGTCATGCCAATAAAGCACCTTGACTTGAATTGAATGTATTTCCCTTGAATATTTAAAATCATAGCTAGAGGAGAAAACACGATTCATATGATGGTCAGTGAACCTTCTGTGAATTGAATTTAGAAGTATGGTAGCATGAAACATACTGAGTATCTTGTGTAACATAAAAATACATGTGTATGCCACAGACTTATCTTTGTTTTATATGTACTTAGTGTTACATCACATCCCCTTTGAGATGTGATGTGGAAAATGTAGGAAATAAATCCTCTAAATTATATTTTGTAACCTGCAGTGAAGACTGGAAAAAATGAAAAGATTGGCATAATCCTGACTATTATGTGCCGTAAAGAGAGAATGTTGGATACAATAAAAGCTCAGCCTGCAAGTGTGTAGTCTTCACAACCTATACAGTGAAATAAGGTATTTCAAAAGTTTTATTTCAACTCCACTGACTGAGGTACTGTATTTTATTGATGCTTACAGGTGTTTACTGGTTAAACAGTTGCAAATGTGACTATTGTATCACTAGCTAAAGTCTGTAATTTCACTACAACATGTTGAAGAGGAATGACTGGTCAGTAAGAAGTGTCTACAAATAAGCACAAAGAAAATCTAATTGTTTTTAACCAGTTAGTGAATAGTTTGGGTCAGCTAAAAGATGTCAGTATTTATCTTTCCTAATGTAAAATACTGTAACGCAACGGGGGCTCAGGCGGGCGCCCTTGCCGCATTAGGTCGGCCCCATCCCGACTGAGGCTCGAACCCGGGACTCCCGCGTCTCTCTGCAGCAACCTAGCCCCGTGAGCTAACGAGAGATCTCCCCCCAGCCCAATAGCTGTAGTCCTGCTATCACAGGGAAGGGCGGTGACATCACCTGCTCTGGTACGCCGGCTCTTACACAGTGCCTGTCGGCCGTAAGCGATACAATACATTAATTTTACAGGTCAATTTGCGGATATTGGAAATGACTTCATTCCATGGTAGCCTTTACTTGTTTTTTTTTTAAGAATAAGGAAGACTGAAGAGGTTGTGCAAAAACTGGCCAATGTGCCGTTTGAAAAGCCTTTTAGAAAAACATTGTGCTACAGGCTAATGCACCACTTCCTGGTGGGGTTTGATACTGTATGTCATCACCACAGTATATACCAGGTACCTGCAGTCGAGAACCGGGGTCCTGCAGTAGAGAACCAGGGACCTGCAGTGGAAAACTGGGGTGGGTTGTACAATAGATAATTGGGGACCTGCAGTGTAGAGTCAGAGAGATGGAGTGGAGAAATGAAAAAGCTTGCCAAAACCACATACCGTTTCCAGTGTGTCTTCAGTTAAACTGGCTGTTATCATGTTCATGGCTGCCTAGCCGGCTCTGGTTTAAGAGTACTGTTGTCTTCCAGACTGAAGCTGGTTTTACACCTTGGAGTGTTATAAATGGTGGATGACAGATGTTTCTGAAAAACACAGATAAAAAGGTGTTTGAAGCGACCCCTGTGAATGGGTATTTGCACCGTAGGACACCCTTTTTTACATGAGATACATAAGAATTGTTTTTTTTTTTTGTGCGCGTGAAATGCTTTTCCATCTACATTGTGTTCATGAATTCTTTTTTTATTTTGCAAAATAGGGGAAAAAATATAGAAACACGTCTGTAAAGGACCCCAGCCCCACCATTTTAAAACAAGTCGCTTGGGGGTGGAGGTAACAGGCATCTGACACAAAAGCAGGCACATTAAGGAGCGCACACAAACAAAGCAGTGTGTGGTTGTTTAATGGCTGCTGCTCATAGTACAGGAATAGAAGTGGGGAGTGTGAAGAGTTCTGCTGGTTTTGGCTTGGGTTCAGTACTAGGGCACTTGCTACACAACAGTACTTTCAGCCAAGATGATGCTGCACAAGGGATTGTATTGAATGTGTTGTAAATGCCGAGTGCCATATTCTTTTAATTTATTACTTTTATCAGAATGTTGCTCTCGACACAGAGTTTGGTTTCCTGCAGTAAGTAAAGGATAAACATTTCATAACATAACTTCAGTGAAGAAACAAGAAGGGACAAGGATGCTTTGCAAACAAAAAGTACCAATTACCAGGAAGCTTTCTCCCTCTCCTTAGAAGAACAACTTCTGGAGAAAAGGCATCTTATTTGCTTCTTCTGTTTGTGCCACCAGTTTCATCAAAGGGATATGCTCTATTCCAGGGGAACACTTGGTAGTGCGACCCCCAGCTCTCTGTGTGTTGCTCTTAGAGTTATTTAAACTTGCTGGGAACTCTCCGTGCAGTTGTTGCTTCTGTTTAAAATATCAGTTATGTGAGTTGACTATTGCAGCCAATGAGTCGAGACAGGAATATATGTGTTGCCAGTAAGGGTAAGGAGCCAAATGAATCAAGTGCGATTGAAAAGTCCATTGCAGAGACGTCAGCTTGCTGATGCAACACAAACATACATTCCCATTTAGTTCATCTCTTCTCTTTCAGAGGGAAGGAGACTTTCCAAAGCTGTGCTGCACTTAGCAAGTTAGTCTAAGGATAAGAAGTGACAGGTGGTCAAGCAGAACACAAGCAGGGAAGTACTGTACTTAGTGTAAACTTTCAACATTTTACTGTTGTTACTGGGTGAATGTAGTTGGCTTTTTTGTTTCTCTTTGTTTTTACTTCTGCTCTGTGTATTACACATGCAGTATCGTGCAATGCTTTGAGCTTTTCTAAAGCACCATTAAATGAAATTGTACTATCATTATCACGTGTTTGCAAGCAGCTCATTGATCCATATATCTCATCCAGCCTCGTCTTTAATAATCTCAGAGAATCTGCTTGTTCTGGACATCAACAGCCCTACATGCAAAGAAATGACTCTTGTAATCTAGTCATGTCTCTGTGTCCCTGTTTGTCTGAAGTAGTCCTATGGGTTAATTTAGTCATTACCTCTCTGGATATAATAATAATAATTTCTTACACTTATATAGCGCTTTTCTGGACACTCTACTCAAAGCGCTTTACAGGTAATGGGGACTCCCCTCCACCACCACTAATGACGAGGCCATGATTGGTAAGAGCCAATGGGAAATTTGGCCATGGCACCGGGGTAACACCCCTACTCTTTTCAAGAAACACCCTTGGAATTTTAATGACCAGTCAGGACCTCTGTTTTACATCTCATCCAAAGCACTGTGCCTTTTTACAGTATGGTGTCCCTGTTGAGATTCTGGGGCATTAGGATGCACACTGTCTGCAGAGGAAGCACCCTCTGCTGGTCCCTCTAACACCTCTTCCAGCAGCAACCTTAGCTTTTCCCAGGAGGTCTCTCATCCAGATACTGGCCAGGCTCACACCTGCTGAGCTTCAGTGGGTTGCCAGTTGTGAGTTGCAGGGTGATATGGCTGCAGTTTATATACTAAATTATATTTTAAAACAAAATAAAAGTTATTTAATCACCTCACAATCTTCTTTATTCTGAATATAAAAGTTAAAAAATAGTAAACAATGGCCTCTTGTTGTTTTGCAAAGTCCTAAAAATTAGAAGAAAAAAATGAATTCTCAATTCCATGCACTGACAACTTGGCTTTGAATTTGTGATGTTATCTCACATGTGAAAAAGAACATTGATACTATAAAAGCTATAATAAAATGTTCTTCTGTAATAACAGACAATTTATAAATGGGTCAGTGAAAAGCATATGGTCTGGTCTAGCCTAGCATATCTACAGCTATTTTCAAAAGAAATATATTATGGCTTGTTTGAAACATATGCTTAACATTTATTTGTGCATTGGTCCAGATTAATGATCAACCTTAAATTTCAGCTAATCTGTAAAAAATGGCAAGATTACTAAGAAAAACCGCAACGTCTAAAAATATCTATATCTGGTAAACAATTAAACTAGCGCTCTTTGCTAGTTATATTTGGACAACTGAAAGGAGCCAATTATGATGCAAATCCATACAGTAGGATGTGCTGACACATTTAATTGCATTTAAATGCAAGTGATTGATACGCTTACACAAACAGACAAATCTGCACCAGAAAGTGTTTCATTTTAGGCACCAATCGGATTCTGCCTCGTGCTTTAGAAACTAACAACTAATAGTATGTTCATATTAACAGCATAAAATTTCCAAGATGAAAATACAGATGATTGCGTAATATGACAAATTAATCTTTCTCTTTATTCACAGCAGACCTGGAGCACTCGAAGTCATGACTGATTCTTTTAACTAGGAAATTTGGCTCCTTAGTTTTAAATCATTTAACTCTAAAGGAGTGCAGTAAATTCAGCAACAATATGAGTATGTTCTCCTTTTTTCCGTTCTTGATTTCTTCTTTCCGGAGAGGAGACTTCAAGCTGCACACTGCCCTCAGCACTGGAGAAGTGACGTGACTCTCAGCAGCAATACTGCAAGCTTGCGGGTCACAGAGGTCATTTTTGCATAGGAAGAATAAGACCCTCTGGCTGGTTCAAGACATCTCATACCCTGTGGACACTTGCCTAACGGTCCACCACTCTTTAGCAATCTTCATTCATGACACAGCCCAGACTCAGACTATTCATGTTTGGATTACAGAACTCACTCTGGGTTCAGAATACGTGCTTTTACCTTTTGATCTGCTTAGGAGCCTGGAGATTTCATTTTTCATAACTCCCTTAAAGTATTTTTTTACAAAAAAAGCAGTAGAAATCCTTCTTTCTGCTCATAGATCTCTGACTTACAATTCCATATTAAAACAGGTATGCTGGTGTTACTGAACCCAGGGAGCATTTTTCTTTATCTTCTTAAAGTACAGGGTTATTATTTTTTGGTGGCTGATACTACATTAAAAAAACCCAGGACAATGGAGACCTGACTGACTTTAAGATACTGTAGATCACTTTTAACACTTCATCTTTAGCACAAATGGTGGTAAATCTAATGACAACGAAGGGAGTTGAGACCTAGAGTTATTGGTTGAGTAGGAAGTAGCATCAGGACTCATGTGTTCGAGCATATTGAGCACTGCTGGTCATATTCTTGTCACTCAGTCTCCTTTGGGACCGAGAATTGGAGATGCTCTTTATGCACAAAGTGGTGGGTATCTGAAACAGGCTTGCCTGACAGGCAGCTGAGGCTCAAAAAGTGCACCTGTCTGCGTTCTGTGGGTACCCCTCGCATAGTCTGATCTTTTCATGAGCTAGCCTGCGATATTAAATAGACTGCATTCTTGGCACTTAGGGTTATTGTCTAATTTCTTAATTATTGCATCCCCTATTATATGTACACTGCCACAAGTTGAAAAATTACATAACAAATGGTTCATTGCAGGTCCTCAGTGTAATGAGAGCCAGTCCAGGCTCCCATGAAGCATAGTTCAGGACCCTATGCAGACAGTATAATCCAGACTTAAGTGGAGAAGGACATCAGGGGAAGGTACAGCAGGATAGGACGGGGTGATCCGGTGCTCAGGGGGCATCAAAATAGGAAATCCGGGGTGCAGTCCAAAGTCCAAAAACTGGGTGATCCATCCAAGACAAGACAGAATTTAAATCCGGAACAGGATCCAGATCAGGAACAAGAAGTTAAAAGAAAGTAATGAGGCCAGGCGCTCCAAGCCCCGTCAGGATGCCGTGATGAAGCCTATGCCTCCGGGTCTCTCCTGGACCCACTGGTAGGCGGGCTTCCGGGCATCCATCTCCCAATGCTGAGCCAGGCATAGCGAGAGCGCCAGGCTTAAATAAGGAGGAGGAGGGATGCCAATCGTGACACTCAGGACATGGTTCAACATTAATTTGCTGCTGGCTAATCACCTATGGCATTTGCTTCAGAGACATCTTCTATGTCTACCAAACTCTATCTTATCATTACAGATATCAGCCTAAGCAGAAACATCTTTAGAAGGACCGTATATAAAATGAACAGAGATTAAACATGGCCAGAGGAGCTTAGACTAGAAAGGTGAACTAGTTTTGTTTATGCTTCAGATTTGTGTGAAGAAAAAAATTAATCAATTTTCTAACAGCAAAAAATATCTTAATTAAAAGGCTCTAATTGTGTTCCCTGGGTGTAATATTTCCACCCCTCATCATTTTTTTTCATTGCCTCCCAGATAACAGGATTAATTTTGAACGGGTGACTTCCTCCCCTGCCATCCTTCAGCAAGACCATACCTCTGGTGGCCTTACGGCTCAGAGGACACACAGCTGCACCAATGTATCAGGAAATGGCCTTACTGTCTGGCAGCTCCGAACGCCAGTTCCCTACGTTTTCGTTCAACCCGCTGGAGAACCTGCACGAGGTCCGCACCAAGAAAGGGGTCTTCTACAAATCGGCCAAGCTTCTCCACCCAGGAGAAGAGCTCTGCTGCCGATCGCACCTGGAGGACAGCAGGAGCCGCTCCGTGATCATTAATGTGGGAGGCATCAAGTACTGCATCCCCTGGACCACCCTCGACGAGTTCCCCCTGACCCGGCTGGGGAAGCTGAAGGCCTGCAGCAACCACGACGAGATCATGGACGTCTGCGACGACTACGACATGAGCCGCAACGAGTTCTTCTTCGACCGCAGCCCGAGCGCCTTCAGGACCATCATGACCTTCCTGGCGGCGGGGAAGCTGCGGCTCCTGCGCGAGATGTGCGCCCTGTCCTTCCAGGAGGAGCTGCTCTACTGGGGCGTCGAGGAGGAGAACCTGGAGTGGTGCTGCCTGCGGAAGCTGCGGCAGAGGGAGGAGGAGCGCAGCGAGGCGCGGCGGGCCGAGAACGGGCTGACCTCCCCGCCCAGCGAGGAGCCGCCGCCCAGCACCTTCTCCGACGATAGTCGCATGGGCGGCTGCATGCGGAAGCTCAGGGACATGGTGGAGAACCCGCACTCGGGCCTGCCGGGGAAGATCTTCGCCTGCCTGTCCGTCATCTTTGTGGCCATCACAGCCGTCACCCTCTGCATCAGCACCATGCCGGACCTCAGAGAGGAGGAAGAGCGGGTGAGTCCACACTTTATCTGCCCCCTTCGATCCCTCCCAGGCCTGCAGGGCTGCCTAAGGATTGGCAGGCAGCTCCAAGACATGGTTTGTTATTGGTGAAATACCTTTTACACGACGTAAAATAATATGCCATAAAACATTTGCTGGACAATATGAGTTTCTGTGGGCTTGGAGGCTTCATTAGCAAGCAGACTTGTTCAGCTAATAAAGGACAAAAGGACAATCAGATATCCCATAAGTTAAATTTTTACTCTCCAAAACCTGTCAGTAACAGTGCTTCAGATTTTGCAAAAGACCTTACAGTGAAGAAGCATGTGATTCGAGATCTTTCAATGTGGCAATACTAATGTAATTTGCCCAGCAAAAGTTAACTCCAGGGCTGTTGAGTGTGATGTTGTCTTTGTTATGTTAACAAACGTTTACTGTCTCAGAGATAAACACAGTGATCTTCTCCCAGTCTGATATGATAATTATAATAATTGCTGCTATGGAAATTTGAGAAAAACAAATGATAGTAAAGAAGAACAGTAAAAATACTATGTTTAATTGCTGTACGGTTAGATTGGAATATACAGTACCTTGTTGTATCCCTCAAGAGGGCTTTAGTAGTTCTTCCAAAAGGATCTTTCTCAGTCATGCTTCGAATACATCAAACAAAACTTCAGACTTCTTTACAAATCTCAGCAATTGCAGTAAAAAAAGAAATGCAAAGCAACTAGTTATCTGCAATGGAAGGTGGAATCAAAGCAAGCAGATTCTAAAATGTAAACATTAGGACAAATTGTTTTCTTTCTTAATTAGCCCTTCATAATGGAAAAATACAAGACGGCCCTTGGACAAAGGCAAGGCTGCAGAATTTTGAATACATTATACTGTAGATTGTCAATTGGGAATTAATGAAAACGAGTGCATCAAAACAAGCACAATCTAAATAATTTAACGTTGAAGGCTTAAGACATGTTCAGTACTTTGAAGAAAAAATGCTGCGTCTGCCTTTTTTTTCCCAAGAAATACTTAAACAATATAGGTTTGTCACCTAACTGCCTTTTATTTTTATGAGAGACTAATGGGTCTGTGAATGTACTACCTTTCCACTACATAACCCTGGCAGTACAGGTATGTGTTAGATACATTTTCCAGTCTCAAACTGCAAATGCAATTTCAGTGGAAAAAAAGAGAATTAAGTGACTATTGACTGCATCATATTCAGCAGTAACTTTAAATCATCATGTCACTTTATCTATCAGTGAGTTGGTGGTAGGAAAAAGATTAATATTTTGCGAGAAAAAAAGACTAAATGTCCTGTGTATTTCACATGAGAAAATATTATAGCACCTCAACATATTACCTAATTAAAACTTTATAATTTAGGTTGTTCCTAGATCTTAACATTTAACTAAGAGGCAATTTGGTGATTTACACTAAATGTTTATTGTTCTGTATTTTATTTAAAAGTCTTAATTGAATGTTTCCAACATTCAGAGGAAGAAGATGGGTCAGGGTTAGGTCAGAGGAGTAGAGTTAGGGTTAGGACAAATGAGTAACGACGGGGATAGGACAGAGGAGTAGGGAGTGGGTACCATGTTGGTGACTTTTAAGGAAGTTGTTACAAAATTCTATATACCAGGACTTACAATAGAAAAGAATGGGCTACATGAGCCAGCAGCCATATCGCTCTGCAACTCACAACTGGCAACCCAC